GAAATTCCAGAAAGTTATAACCGCTTACGCTATATATACGAAGCGCTGTACAACTGTTCTTGACTTCATTTTGGGCGTTAATAGACCTTGTGCACCTTTGGTGGTTGTTTTGACGTGAACGCTAGCTTGGGAGGCGCAGACCGAGAACTAAGCTGAGGAAAATACCGTTACTACAGTGTCTTATAACAAGACGGTGTACAAAAGTTGTTAAATTGTGGAGCCTTGCAGGTGACATCTCTGATACCATGTTGTGAACTCTGGAGTAGATTCTTGTGTCCACACATCTTACCGTATGGTTTGCATGCGCTAGGAATATGAATACCACTGGTCGATATTTTAAGATGCTCAGTAGTTTTCTGTCGGTTTCTAAAACCGGATATTCAAGTAAGAACTATCGTTGACGAAGTTCACTTATTTGCCATCTAATTTGGTCATTGGGAGACTCAACTTAATCTCAGTTGGGCCTGCTGCTTAGGATATTCTACAATTAGTTGTTTAAGTTGAGCATATGGTTGAAGACAACTCGAGGAGTGCACCTCCCTGATAAGCCCAGAGGAAAATGAGAACGATCGTGGATTGTCGACAGGTTTTCAACAAACTTATGCTTCTCCAAAGCAACAATTGCTGTTCACATCCAGTAGTGTCGATAACAACAGTACTAGTGGTCATGTTTAACAGATGCCGACCAGTACTAAATCACGCGCATACAACTAGCTTGCAATGAGTGAAAGCAAAGACGAAAACAAGCTCTGCGATACCGTAGTGGGGACATGCTAGTGAAAAGCGATAAATGCTCAGCTAAAATGTAAGTCATCCGGGTCGAACAATTTCCTAGAAGATTTATCAGAACGACGGCAAACAGGAGGAGCAATCAAAGACACAATAACGATACGTTTACCCGTCAACCAAGCCACCGGCAATGGGCAGGAAACACACTGAATAGTGTGTCCGTCCCATCGAGAAGTAGTCCGAGTTTAGATACGAAGTAGCCAGATGTTGGATAGCGGATGGTTAGTGGAGAACAAGGATGAACAGAAAACAATGAGTGGACGAGTTGGGTCTCGCGTGGTGACAATGATAAAGGTGATGACATAGGCAATGACGATCTCATCTGTTCCTTTTGTGACAATTCATTAGTATGCTTAAAAACGCTCATGATTCGGGTGCTCCCTTGACCTTAGGTTAAAATGTTCGTTTTTTAATTCTTGGCGCCGTATTTTCGCCAACCCTTGTTCACTAATTCGGGCTATGCACTTTCGAGTTCGAGGCTTGTACAACCAACATCCTATTATTGTTCCCCTCGTATTTGGGCTTTCTGACGACTTCGATTGCAAGTTTTTGCAGTAACTTCATGAGTAGTGGTGACTACGATGACGCTGAAGATGGTGATGATCACCATGGTGGTAACGAGGATGATAACAAAAGCGGCTGTCACAGTGCTGATACTGAGAGAGGATGGTTTGCAAAAGCAATCAGTATTAGTGTGTTCCCGATGAATCCGTAGAAGACAAGGCCCCTCCCCGTCATAGGAGGCGTTTTTGCTATCAGTTTTGCTTCCAGCTGAGACCACCTTAGTTTTCCTGGAAGGTACTCAGTGCGATGTGGTGTCAATTGTTGATATCATATTGCTCTGAATTGTCGTAGGACAAAAAACTTACGGTTTCCAAAGTATTTCGAAATTTCTACTCAGTGAATAAGATTGTTGTAAATTACATTAACCTTGAAATGCTGGGTGCACACAGATTTTTCAAGTGTCCATCATAGCAACCACCTTACAAGGATTGCATTGGAAGTAAGCGTAATACACAACACTTCGCACTTCGTTACTGTTTATTCACGTCTGTGCCCCATGAGTTTACTCAGTTAGCATCTACTGCACACAAATTAAAAGTAGATACATTCTCACGCAGCAGAATGCACTTCTGCGTGAAAAAGTGTTCCCAGGTAAGCATGCACAGCTGTGAACAGGTCACTGGATTAGTAACCTTAGCTGCACCAACACAAAATAGCAAAGGATTTTCATTGTTACACTGTGCGAAGTCGACTGAAATAATAGGAAGTGTAACCACACTTAAGCGCCGGTGAGTTAAAAGGAGGTAACAGATCGCGACATTGCAAACATTTTTGTTATCGAGGTGAGTATTTTGGACAAGAAGCTTGGAAAAAGTTCTTTGACGAAACTCGGCACGGATTGCATACCTCGCACTTGGGTTGTGCATAGAATGGGGTTTCGATGATCAAAGTAGTACGCAACAGCTGTTCCCCGTTGATGCGACCTGTTCCGTCGGTTGCCTTTGAGCAAGTTTCAGACGAACAAGCTCTCGGATCAAAATCATATAGGCCTGAGATAGAATAAACAGAAATGCGTTGAGTTCAGCGAGGTAACAAACGATATGCAACAAACGCTGAAGGTTGTCTGTCTGTTCAAGGATGAGTGCAGTGCTCTCCTAAGAATGAGCCTCCCTCGTAGCAACCACTGCCCTAGTAACAAACCTGTCCGGAATATTTCAAACCTCTATATTGGCAAAAGGGTAACCAACTGACCCCTACCACTTTGTATGAAACGCAAACCTATTTGTTAGCCGAAAACATCATGTGCTTGTCAGCGATCCATTAAGCTATACTGGGGAGTGTCCCCACGACACTCACAGGGTCTCTCATATCAGGTTGGTCAATGGTTAGAGGTCTGACAAACACAGTCTCCTGGCCCTCCAGGTTGGGGTTTGGAACATGTGATGACTTGTTCCGTAGCAATGGTAGTGCTTCGCATTTCCCCCCAGACACCGCTGGCTTGCGGTTCGGCTTTTGAGCCAATGGTTTTGGTTGAGGACCCTGATCGTCCTACTGTTCAGGTGTGGGCGCCCTGACAGTATTCCAGCCCACGTACGTAAGGTTCGGATAAATCGCTTGACAACTGAGAGACTAGTATATCCGGATGTTAGACGAATTTACCAAAATCGTATTTTATAGTCTCTTCCAAAGGTTCCACCATCAGATGCGAACCAATACTGAGACGAGATTGTCGCCTATTTGCATATTGCTGAGAAAGAAAGAAAGCCGGTGATTTCCGAAGATTATTTCAGTTGATCCGTGTGACAGGGCCCCGGAAACCACCTGTCAGCAAAACCATCAAGCATAGGAATGGAACGACCATCTCGAATACAGCAAAACGCCCAGACTGGTGGGCTGAATACTTCAGGCAACAACTGTCGTGACCACCAGCTCACACTCATCTAGAGCCCACAGATGAAGTAGAACTCTGGACGGTGAACGCGGAGCCACTGACTGCATATGTACTCTCAAGCGTCACAGAGCTCCTGGTCCGGATGACCTCCCAACCGCATTGTTCAAAGACGGGGGTGAAGTCCCCAGTCAACGTTGGTCTGATCTGTTTTCTTGCATTTGGAAAAAGCAGTCTGTCTCAGACCACTGGGGGAATCGGTAATAGTGCCCGCGTAGTGAGTGTGGTAACCACAGGGGGATCAGCTTGACCCCGGTTGTAACGAGACTGTTGGCGTCAATTGTGCTTCGTCGCCTTACGGTGGCTCGCAAGATACTGACTCGAGAGCAGCAAGCGGGTTTCCGGCCTGGTAGGGGTCGCGTTGACCAAATTTTTGCACTGTGTCAGGTGCTAGAACAACGCCATATGTATAAGCGACCCACAATACTAGTATTTTCGGATTTCCGAGGCGCATTCGACTCGGTTGATCGGTCTGTTCTTCTTGAGACGCTCGCCCACCAAGGAATGCCCCGGAAGTTTGTAAACATAATACGCTCTTTGTATTCTCAGACTTCCGGACGTGTGAGAGTGTACGGAGAGCTCTCCAAAAGCTTCCGTACACAAAGCGGTGTCCGTCAGGGATGCCCACTCTCTCCATTCCTTTCTAACTTCGTGATCGATGAAATAATGAGACGAACGCTGGAGGGTCTCTAAAACCCTGCTGTTCAAATAGCCTGTGAAGCAAATTTCGTCGATCTGGAATACGCAGACGACATGGTTCTCATGTTCGAAGTGGAGGAAAAGGCGCAAGTATTCTTGGATGAACTGACCAAAGTCATCCCGTCCTTTGGTATGCATTTTGCACCCACAAAGTGTAAGGTCATGCTTGTGGACGTGCAGTCACTGAGCACACCACTTACAATCCAGCGAGAAGCACTGGAAGTTGTGGAGCGTTTTACGTATCTTGGAAGTTGT